GAGATAGATTTGGCTTTCCCAACTACTTTTGGCGGGAAACTAGCTCAAGACAAGGTCGTTTCATTACAGGACAAGAACACCGACCAGAAGAAAGAGGCATTCTGGACTGTGCAAATAGTACGAATGAGCATTGCTCCCATACCAAATTTGTCCATTATGCTTTGCTTCATTGCAAGAGGCTTGAAAAAGGTGGATGCTCAGCAATACAAAACAGCCCGTGTGCAAATGAAGATGCCAATTGCTAAGAGCGATTCATGGAGCTGCAGTAATGATATGGGTGATGTTTGGTATTATGGCGAAAATGTCACAATTCAACAAGCCAAGTTCGTTTTCAAGGAATATTGCTACCATCTGCGACAAAAGGATGCTCTCATGTTGCCGCTCACGATTATTGCGGACAAAGACAAGAGACAGCCACCATCAACGGAGCTCTTGGGTTGCTTGGGAGAAGCGTACGCTGATTGGACCGTTTCCGAAGGACCTTTTGGCATTTCTGTTTTGAAATATCCCTTCATTGAAGGGGATTCCAACAAGCCACACAAAGATGGATGGGTACAAATATTGAAGCAGATACAGACGATGCATGGCCATAATTTTGTTCATGGGGATCTCCTGCCTCGCAACGTGTTGTTTACCTATGACAAAGGATACGTGATAGACTTTGACCTCACCAGAAAGGTACTTGGAAAAGGCGAAACATATGTCATGGGCTACAACAATGTTGACTTTGTTGCTTTTCGACACCCAGATGCAGTAGCAGGAAAGCAAATGGATAAGGCACATGATATTCATTCCCTTCGGATGATGAGCAAATATTTTTTTGATTTGGGAGAAAATTGTCTCGACAAATGCAATATTGATGAACTCATTGCTCGGTTTAGTGAGAATACGAAGTTAGCACAAAACGTTTGCGATAAGAAACTGTTGGACAACGAAGCAAGTGGTAGCCCAGATCGACCATAATATGGTTCACCCACGTCTATCATAAACTATGAATTGAATGTGTCTCCTGGGTACTCG